AAGCATTCCTCTGGTCACTGAGGCCTGCACATTGTTTTGCATGGAGAATTGCAGAGCTGTTTAGGGTCTTGTGCAGAGGCTCGGTGCTGTACAGCGGGGCAAGGATCTTGATCCATGGGCAAAGCAAGAACGGAGGTCTTGCAGCTGGTTTTCTTGTCCACACCTCACTAACATCACTTTACTTGCGGTAGGGAATCTACCAATCTCAGACACCTCACAAAAGGGTCCTCCCAGTATGTTTTGCTTGTTGTGGCAATATGGGGGTTGATCAAAAGGTCCTTTACCTGGGATGACGATTGGGGAAAATCACCAAACGTATGATACGTCCCATCAAATGGGATAAGTTGCCTATGCTCTTTTGGGGCCGAACGAAATATTGATCAACCCCCATACGTACAATATGTGTACAGGCAAGCAACCAAACTGATGGGTTTCGCCCGCCTCTCGGCTGCCAGCTTTAGCTCCACGAATCCCGGTCACTCCGGGTGCGCCATGTGGCGCCGAGCGGCCGCGCGGTTGCCCGCGGCTTTGGGTCGCGGGCGGCGCTTCAACGTGGCCGAGGCAGATGGCATGAAGTGGGCGCCTTGTTTGGTGGCTTTGAAGGGACACCAAATGAAAAAAAAAAAAACAACAACAACATTTTGCGGGGGTCCCCTATTTTGATGCACACCCAACTGCACTCCCCCCCGCTCAAAGTCAAACATGCACGCTCTGACTCCGAAGTTTGGCCATTTGGAAGGTGACGGTTAAACCGGCGAAGGGCTGCAAGAGGGAATGGGCTCTTTGCGGAGGTGTCCCAGGGATTTTTCAAGGCCGAGCTCACGGTCTTCGTGTGGGCAAATACTTGTTTGGTCATAGCCATGGTCTTCAAAGGTTAAGCTTTCATTTCTGGTCGTTTTGTCCCAATGCGGGGACCCATGAATTTACCAAGAATCAGCCTACATCAGGTCAACATGAGGTCAGTTTTCATCTGCTTGATGGGGTGCCCTCCAAAAAGTTTGTGAACTGAATCTGAGGATAAAGCCCAACTTTATGCCACGTTTTTCTCGGGTCAGGCTCGTTCCAATGTGAGCTTTTAGCGGCTTGGTGTCGACCTTTGTTTTCTGAAGGTGATTTTGAGAGTGGAAGTGGCTGAACTGGCTGGTTCTCAGCAGGGAATGAGGGAATGACCCCTCGAAGCAATTTTGCAATGGTTTCCTGGGGGGCATTCCTAGGTTCATTGCCAAAGCTTGGGTCATTCGCTATCGCACGAGCAAGCGGCTGCGGCTGTGCTAGGGTTGGGTTCTGCTTCGACCCGTGCCAGGCAGAGAGGCCGCGACCCAGGCGGGGGAGGGCGGAGTGCAGAATTCCGGGTGCCTTTGCTTGGACTTGGTGCACATGAATTTCATGTTTGGTCTGTTTTTCGGGATACAACCTCCTCAGCAACTCCGAAAGACACTGCCAGGCCTGTGAAGAGGCAAGAAGCTTTCACCGCAGGAAAGGCCGGACGCAGTGTGCCGGTGACACCACACCGAAGACACAAAGGACCCAGGGAGAAATGGGGTAGATGTTCTTTTGGCAGCTAATGGCATGTTCCAAACATTTGGCTTCCGGTAGCTTTGGTTAGGACACCGTTTCTTGAAAACAATCGGCCCGGGTGGGTCCTCGTCTTTTTTTTGGAAGGCCCTCGGGTGGGACATCTGGCTCCGAGCCGCTCGCTTCTTGCTTCCAGGTCCTTGGCGTCACCGCCGTGGGTGCTGGCGTCGCAAGTGGCTCAGAGTGGGGAAGCTGCGGGCAGGCGGTTCGCAGTGCCATGAGATGCTTCGATTTGTACTTTTTGCTTTTGTAGAACCAACAAAGCCAAACAACAACTTTTTCTTTAAAGCAATCGTTCCCTAATTTGGTTTTGAAGTTTTCTCACCACCCCCTTCTTACCTTTTGGGCGCTTAGCCAAAGTGCGAGGCCTATGCGGCAAGCGAGACGGTGCGAGAAGAGGTGCATCGCTTGATGTCGAGAGTCAACGAATCCTTCGAGGACCCGCGCGGGCGGACGCTCCCACTGTGAGCCTCACCCTGGGCTCATCTCAAATTGGGAACCCCCGAACATGATTGGTTTTCTTTTAGTGTCCCTTCCGACCAAAACAAAGGGGTACCCTCAAAAAAGACGCCACCCTCCCCTCCACGGAGAGTGCAAGGTCGAGCTACAGCTTTTTCCGCCATGGTGATCGGAAAAGCAGCGCAGGATTTCAACGATACCTCTCGGGAGTTCTTTGAAGGCATCGGCGACCGCTTGTTCGCCAGAAGACAGGACAAGAAGTGATCAGCATCCCTCGACATTGGTGCTTTGGATGTGGTAGGTGGTGGGAAACCCCATGTATTCTCTACAGGGGCCGGGGGTTCAAGTCCGAATCCAAACTATCAAGCCAAGCGCACTTGCACGGGCATGCGCTCACTTGCATGGGCACGCACCCATATGCACATATGCGTGCATGCCCACATATGTGGGCAGTGTGTTACTCACCTTTTCATCAAATGTTTTTACCTATTCATTCAGTACATATGCTTACGTATATATATATATATACACATGCAGCATACACAAATTTGTGATTTTTCCTTTATTCACTTGTGCATCCAATGCAACAATCAAACATATTTTGTACCTGAGCATGCATTTCTCGCTGGCTTTCTCGCTTGTTGCCATGCCCTTTCTCTTGCAAACAGTCAGCTAACCCTCAGTTGGTGGTTTGGATTGGTGGTTTGGATTCGGATTTGAACCCACATGCGGGTTTCTCATAAAGTGATGATTTCGGACCCCCTGTTGGTGGAGGGAAACCACAAGGAGACCAACGGTTTCAGAACTCGAAACACCCATTTTGAGGGAAGCTGAGTCTCAGACTGCTGGGCTAGGAGCCTTGGCTAGTGGACTTGGCGACGCTGAAGTACCCGGAGCATCTGCCCACCCTCGTGCTGGACGTGGACAAGGCGGCCTTTTTTTTGTTTTTGCTTTTCTCGATTGGGTGGGTGGGTGGGATGTGTGGGGTGTTTCTTCGTTTGTTGGGTGGGATGTTTTTGGAGAGGGCTTTGGGGTCCCAAAAAGAAGCAAAACAACTGCGGTTCCAAATTTGCTTGACTTTCTAGACACATTGTGTTAACATCACGGATCATTGCGCAGAATTTCTGGACTTCACAAGTTACCGTCGTGTCTGAAGCTCACTTGCCTAAGCAGTCGGTTTAGGACTTGTTGGGGCCAATCTTTTCAGGAAGGGAGAGCACTGTGAATCTGAACTCAGTCAGTTTCGGCCCTTTCAGGTGATCCTGCACTTGCAGCATGACAGCAGACAGGCGGGTTGCAGATTGCAGTTTTGAGACACGCTTGGCTATCCATAGCGTACGGTTTTCTGGTTTCCTTGAACCAAGGGATCCAACACTCGAGGAAGCCGATATTTGGGGTGCTTCGGGTTTCTCCCCTTGCACGGAACGTCGCTCAATCCTGTGCCAGGGTTGGCAAGTCGTCAAGAGACCCTTTGCAGACAAGTTCTTCAAGGACGCTGATTGCTTTGGGCGGAATGGACACGTGTGACTTGGGCTTTGGTTCTAGAGGCCAAACGACCAAGAGCCAAGGGCTTTGGGTTGCCCCTGTGATCATGCCACGTCAGGGATTCCATGCTTGTTGAAAGCCGCCCAGAAGGCTAGCCGCCATTGTGTGTACGCCTTCGGGGGCTGTTTTTGGGATAACCCAAAGTCAGACCGCCCGTATTTGGCGACAGACCCAGGAGATTCCGCACTACTACGAGGTGGTGCTGTTTTCCGACGATGTGTTCCCTGCTGCGCGCTCAGCCCACCATGCCTGATTTGGACGCGTGCGAAGGCTTTGCAGGTTCGGGCTTCAAGACAGCTTAGGGGGATCCCCAGCTGATTCGCGAGCAGGGGCCGAGGAAACGAGCGTGTCCGTGCGTGCCACTTCAGGTTGCGCTTGACATCGCGACCAAGTGGAACTTGCCAGTTGGCTCCTCTGCTCGCCTGCCCTCAGCCTTTGTCAACTTTTCGAGCCAATGAACTGAAGCGCGGTTAGCTTTCTTGTATGCAGACACGTTGCTGCGCGACAGCTGTGCTTGACTAGTTTGTTGTTTTGGGGGACTGACACAATGAGAATGGCCGATTGGTAGGATACTCCCTTCGACACTAAACGGAGCCCGCAAGGTCTCTCCGAAGGAGGGTCGTGTTTGGCTCTCCGCCTCGCTTGTAGTGATGGCAAAATGACCCAAGCACACAGCTGGTATGATTTCCTCGACGGACTCAGCTTCATCGACCACAGAACTCACGCAGCCAGTGCTGCCTGTGAGGTCACTGGTGTTTTGCACCGGGAGTTTTGCAAAAAGATGCTTGGCTGATCTTGGCGTCGGGTGCTCATGGTTGCCGCCTTTCCCCTTTTTCCGAGCTGGTCGGGTGCGAGTGGATATTCTCAGGACTCAACAAGTTGGATGCCCAAGACCTGCAGCAATTTGGTTGCTCTTCAAAGCCAACCCCCAAGGCCCAAAACGGACTTCCGCATCCATCAAGCTTCATTCAGAGAACTCGCGCCTGTCAGCCAAGGAAGCGAAGCCACTTTGTTAAGGAGACTGCCGCAAGTCTGATTTCCCTCCCTGAAGGTTTGTTGGGGGGTTCCCGTAATTTTTCTATTTTAGGAATCGTGATTTGACTCGATGTGCGATTGGTAGCGTTGCTTCCAAGTGAGTTTTAGTTTGGTTTCCTCTTCAAAGAGTCTGGGGGGGAGCGTTGATGGCGGCTTTTTTGGTTGGGGGACATGCTCTATTCTTGTGCCTGTGCCGGAGAGCACAACCGAGAGGACCTGTCAAAGCTGGGACGAAGACTGGATCGTGCGGGGCGCTGAGATCAGAACTTGATGCACCGCTTTGGTCGTGATGCAACTTATCAAAACTTTTCGGGCCCATCTTGACATATTTGTTTTTCTCCAGATCTAGGGCTTGTCAACTGGGTCTAAGGACTCATGCGGCGCGCTGAAGCTTCTCCATGGGAGCAAGTTGGTTTCCTGTTGGTTGGTGAAGTTCTCGGGCTGTGCGTGGAAAGCCCTGTAAATCACCGCACACACCTTACAAACCACTGCAGTTCGCCAGGGTTGCTCTGTGATTTCGTCGTCTGGAGAATGATAGACGTTTCCCACGAACTAGGAAGGGAGAACTTTCATGCAGTCAGTCTGGCTCCAGGCAGTTGAAGGGACATATGTCAAACCCAAGCACCGTCTTTTGGTGCCTGTGGCGGCTGCAACTGGGCCGCCCAACTCTTCCCGGACAGTTGCCTCTCCCTGAAAACAACTTTAAGAAAAGCCACACCTCAGAAAGACCCACCTGAGCCAAACCTCTGCGGGTTGAAGGTGTCGAGGCTGTTCGGTCAGGTGCTGATGATTGATCACGATCCCGTGGCCTTTCAGATGCAGGCGCGCCATCGACATCCGATGTCAGAAATGGCAGGCCGACAGGAACAGAATTGCGGCGGCCTTCGGGTTAGCCCCAGAAAGAAATTACGCCTCAGAATTCATTCTGATGTTAGACCAGAGCGGAACTCGAGCACCAACAAACACTGGCCATGGCCTGATTCTGGGGTTTGCAAACATCAGTTTCGGTTTGGGACGCTTTCCCAAGCCCAAACCTGTTTGTTGACCCCCCATGCCTGGTTTATGAGCGGAAAACCGAAATCTGGATGCCCTCAGCCCCCGCGATGCCAGCCGGAGAACGGCATCGTGATTCGGCCTTTTGATGGCGACACCTCGGATACTGCTCGGGGCCCTGGCTTGGGCATGGCTGCTGAAGGTGATTCCGCGATATAAAGGGAAAACACCTTGAAAGTGATGAGGCTGGGGGTCCTTGCACTTGGGTGCAGCAAAGAGCCAACTTTTTCATGCGAGTCGTGGACAAAGTCCATTTTGGAACTTGGTCATTTTCGGCGTTTGAGTCAAAGGCCGGCCAGAGTCTCAGGTGGCCAGGAGCGAGCGACAGCTCAGTGTCAATTGCTGGGGATACGGTGTCAACCAAAAATTGGGGACCCTCTGTTTGCTGCTGAAAGACAGCGCCACCTGCCTTTGCCCTAGTAAAGGCATCAATCACGTCAAGGAGCAGTTGCACTCTCGAGTCCAATTGTCAGCTGATGATCATACTTGGCGCACCTCCCTGTTTGGAGAAATCATGTGCAATGCCAACAGTTAGACGAACATCCCGAGGCACATTTGTGGGGACCACCTTTCAACAGAGATCCCTATTTCGAGGTTGAAGTCATGGATCTGCGCAGAAACCCAGCCCGTGGCCTACATCCCAAAGCCTCGAACGTGGTAGACAGTGCAAGGCGTTCCCTTCGCTCACAGAAAAAGTGACCCCCACGAGCTCCAGAATCCGCGTGCAGAGCCAAAAGGTGTGTTCCGGATACCTTCGAATTTACCCTTCCAGTGGAATTGGTGCGGCTTTCGGAAGACCATCCTGACAAGTCCCCTGGCCGGGGGACAAAACAACCTCAGGTTGATGTCCGATGGATTCTTGGAACACTTCTATACATGGGGGTTGATCAAAAGGTCCTTGCAAGGAGTTATGTATTCGGTGACCATTCGTCTTGGCTTAAACCCCTCCGCGAAAGATCGGCGATGGAGTTCGCGAAAGAAACTTATTTTTTCGCGAAAGATTCCGCGTTGAATTCTTGGAGGCCTGCCTGTGCACTTGCATATTTGCAGACCCCGCTCCCTTGTAGAGAGGGAGATACGCAGCACCTACACTTGCATTATTGATTCCCTGCCTGTGTTGGGATTGGTGCAAACCAATAACGTTGGCTGGGCTATTTTGGAGCAAGTTTCGCGAAAGATCCGCGAAAGACCGGCGAAAGACCAGGGAGCTTGTTGCAAGGTTCCGCACATCGCCGGCAACCGCAAGTGGCAAGGGCGAACGACGGTGACTGCCTGCACTTGACACTACGTACTGCACGCAAGTGAACTGCGACTACCGTGTTTGCAAGCACAACTGCAGCAGCCACAATGGCTCCAGAGCGCACGCTGCAAACAAAAGGGCGTGGCGATGGAGTCGCGAAAGATTCGCGAAAGAAACTTTTTTTCTCGCGAAGATGGCGTTTTCCGGAAACAGGAATATTGATCAACTGCCACATCACGTTGGGAACGTATTCCAACTCACCATTGGCTACTCCGGTTTTTGTTGGGGGTTCCCTATGGGTGTCTCTTTTATTCAGGGTACCGGGTTTTTTAGCCTTGAAGAGAAGCCAAAGGGACACACCGAAGCCATTTTGGGGGTCCCCTAAAAGCCACCCATATGGCTGTGGCTTCAGCAATGGAAGCCAAAACGGCACTTTGGTATATGGAAACTAAGACTGCAACCTGTGCAATCCCAGCTGTTTAATTTTGAACCCATATGGGCGTGTCTTAGAAATAGGAAGACCCCCCAAATCTGTGGCTTTCCTTTCGTTTCCCCTTCAACCAGCCCCCAAGGGTTCCGTACCCTGTTCAAAAACATGTCGCCTAAGCTGTACGAAGGAGCTGGCAGACCTGCTGGAGTTCCTGAAGGCGGGCGCCGAGAATTTGGCTTTACCCAAACCCGTTTTGGTCCAAATGTTGGTCCCAGTTCTGTTTCTTGGTCCCATTTTGGTCGTAACCCGAGACCCAAATCCCCATTCTTTTGGGTTGCAACCCAAGACCCTCCCCGCTCCCCCGGTTTCGCGTGTTTGTTCTTTGCTTTTTCTTTGTGATTCGGGTGCCCTACATCGACCAGAGCGGGGCCAGTGCTTCCGCTTGGTCGCAGCGCCTTGCACATTGGTCCTGGTGCAGAAGCTGCAAGCGAGTGGTTTGAAACCCAGATCCCGGACCAAGAATCTCTCTGGGAAGAACCCAATCAGCATGTTTGCAGGGTTGGCATTGTGCCCAGGGTGAAGAGATTCCCCCGGGCCGGGTTTCTAAATCTTTGTAGGGGAACTCCCTTTATTGTTTCGAAAGGGGCAGGGTATCCAAGGCAATTGGTTTGATGTTCTGACCAAGCACCTGCAAGGGGTTGCCAGCTGCCCGTAGTGGACATGGCAAAATTCGAGGCCCCCCCCCCATATTGTCAACAAAAAGTTGAGAGTCTCCTGCCGCCCTGGCACGCGCAGGCTGCAGCCAGCAGCAACATGGACCTCCGCAAGTGGCCGCGGCTTGAATTGCCCCCGGTGGGTTGCCGAAGCGATGTGGGCGTGTTGGACCCTTCCTATTGGCTTCCCTTTTCAAACCACCAAACAGGGGGCACCCCCCAAAAAGCAGACAAGCCACCCAGTTGGAATCGCACGGAACCCGCGGCGCCAGGTTCCTGGAAAAGTACGGGGGCGGGGATGAGGATGTCGGCAGGCGGATCTGTGAAAAGACAAGGTCTCGGGACACAAACATCTACCCCAAATCCAGCGCCACCTGTACTTCAAAGCGAAGACATGCATTTGGAGTGCTGGTTTGGGTGCAAAACCACCTCTTCACTTCGCAAGGCGGTACCTGGTGCAGAAACAGGAGCAGGAGAAGCTTGTAGAGAGCAGGCGATCCTTCGGGAGGCCCGATCTAGCTCTTGCGTTCGTGTTCGCCGTCGCAGGTTGGGGTTTCTTTCCCTGAAAAAGCCGAGGTTGGTGCAACCATGGCCGCCTCCAAACCAATCCAGTCAAATCCAATCCAATCCAATCCAATCCAATCCAATCCAATCCAATCCAACCAATTCGTGCTAGTTCACTGACTGCATTCCGATTTCCGAATCACGGACATTACATTGCACAGGGGTAGGGCATTTTTGTTGGTCCTACATCATGAATCCTCTTTTTGCTGGCAGAGGAGGGCTGAGGGACCGTTGCTATGAACAGGTTAGCTCGCGCAGGATCGGCTTGCGGTTTCCCAATGGTTTCCATTGCGGTGAAGAGGATTTCGTGAATTAGACAGCCGTTGACCCCAAATTCTTAATCCCTTGCTGGTGTTGTAAGCCACCCTCCCGAAAGGGTCCAGCTCATTTTGTCGACTCGCGCGGGGAAACGGCACCCACGTGCGAGTCTCCCTCTCTCTCTCTCTCTCTCGAACGCAGCACGGGTTGAGCTACGCTCAAACCTGGGCGTAGCAGCCCTGTTTCTTTGCATTTTGGGCAAGCTGGGTTCAGTATTTCGACGCTTCTTGGCAGTCAGGAAAGGAGGGTGTTTCCCTCCTTTAACCTACCACTGAATGGGGGGGGTGACTTTGACGATAAAATCATCGGGCCTTGTAAACTCCGACGGATCCTCTCTATTGAGGAACGCGGATCGATCCGTTCTTTTGGGAAAAAGGATGATCGTGTGGAATGAACGGAATTTCTCGCGCGCCAGGGCCTTCACGCCTCGACAGGGTTTTGCGGACCGGCCACAGCCGGAGCCCCGAAGCCCGCCCGAGGTTTGATCGTTACGAACGAACGGCCCCCGAGGTGCGCTTTTAGACTTTTGACTGAAGGCGAAACCACACCGGTGAGTTTCTTTGTGAAACTCGGGTGTGTTACGTTGCCGCTTTCTGCGAGCTTTTGGAAAGCCTTTGTGAGTTTGCTTTGTGGCTATGGATAGGAGGCAACCTCAAACATGGCAGGTTTACGGAACACTTCATGTAGATCATGTCCATCAAAGGGGCCCAAATTGCAATGTGTCTAAGAATCATGGGTGCGGACGGAGGGGGTTTGGAAGACTATCCTCTTGTCCACTTGCCTGTTTGCCTTGTTTTTTTTACACATACTCACTTGTGAACCCAGGCCTTAAGTCCCACAGGGCGGGGCCAACCCTTTGTTTCAACATGTTCGAACCACAGATATGAAAACAACCTAGGCTCTGCCAAGCATGTCAGCAACTTTTGGACCCTCAGCAACTTGAAAACCAAAAGGACGCCAGCGCAAGGCCCCCGGGCTTCGGCCTTCGGTGAGCGGGTGAGCGGCGGTGAGCGGGAAGGGGACAGCAGAGGGCCGAAGGGCCGAGGCGAGCCGCGTGCGTCGGGAGAATCCCGGCAAGCCCCACATCCATTTCCATGCGTCAGGGGTTTGGTCTGGGAAGACATCCACGAGTGCCCGAAGTGCGAGAGGGTGACTTTAGCGCGGTTTCTTCTGACTCCATCAAACCAGGCGCCCCTTTTTGGAATGGCCCGATCATGCCAACTCCGGGCTTATCGAGAAACTGCACCAATCGGCGATGGTTCACCTGTTGGCGGGGACATGATCCAATGTTGGGGGAATTCCTCAGATAGGTGCGGGGTGCTCCGGATTTGTTTGAAGTTGACCTTACGGGTTTGGCCCAATCAGATCTCGAGGCGATTCACTTCCTCCCCATGCCGGTTGCAATTGACTGGCGGGCTTCAACTGAACCTGGCACTGTTGGAGCTCCAAACCAGGACAACCGCTTTCAGCTAGGCCAGGCGCAGACCCCCCGGCAAAAAGGTGCCACTGAAAGTGAACAAACTTTTGGCTTCAGTACGGCGACGGGCCGTGTCCGTTGTGGTTGTGTCTTCTGTGTTGGAGCAGCCCCCAAGGTCTGATATTGTAGCCAAACTCCGTTCAACTAGCTGCCATTTTTTGTTAGCCCTACGCTTTTATGGAAAAGGAAAGGCGGTGCTGGGATCCGAATTCCCGGGCTAGGGCAAAGTGAGCAGGGACTGCGTTCCAAGTTAGTTGAAAGATGTGGCTAAAACGCTGCTTCTGGCACGACCTCGTGCCTGGCTCACGCTTGGTAGACTTACTCAAGTCACGTGGAGCCCAAAAAGGGGTCCTCCAAAAGGAGTTTCCTCCACAGGTGGGGGGTTTCTGGGTTCCATGTTAATTTGCAATGTAGTTCCCCTTTCAGCAAATGAAGCTTCTCTTTGTTCAAGTCTTCCTTGTGAGCCATGCGTCGGCCCAAACCAATGCGAGCAGAGGAGAATCGCGTGGGCCGGATGGGCAGGACACCTCTGAACTGGCTCTTGGGATGGATTTGGATTCCCTTTGCCGTGGCTCCCGAGATCCGCGCAAGTCGGCTGCCTTTTTTTTGGGAGCTCACCGAAGCGGGTACCTTGGCCACTTTCGTGAGACTCAGGGGTAGTTCGAGTCGGTACCTCGATTACACCGGGCAGCGGGTTGTTTCCAAATGCCACCTTCGGGCTTGCAAAGATGAGGTTTGGCAACGAAAAGGAAGGCAAGGACGAAGATGCTGGCGCAAACCAAGAAAAAATCGAGGCTCGAGACAGGGATTCAGAGTTTCAGGTTTTATTTCTTGGCTAGGGGTATTGTTTCTCCATGAGTGCCATCTTGAAAGTCGGCCGAGTTTAGGCATCAGCAACTTCAAGCATCCGGGGGGCAGATTTTTGCGAAGGCGAAACTGCAGGCGAAGATGAACACGGAATTAAAAACAAGATGGCCTTCTGGGGTTTTATGGGTTTGGGCTCGTTGATGTTTAGGGTTCAAGGCTTTACGGCTGTGGGGTTTCAGGGCTTTGGGGTCTAGGTTTGTGCTTTAGAGGTTGCTGCTCCACTTCCAACACCGTGGTTGCAGTCAAGGGGTTTGCAGAAGTAAGGCGCTTTCAGGATGGACTGGGGAGAGCAAGACTTCACATGTCAGCTTTGTGATCACGGGGTGCTTCAACTTGGAAATCCTTGCCGCAGCCATGCTCTAAACTACCTCAAACAATCCCTAGGCTGAACCAATTGCCCCCGAAAAACACAAACACAGAAGCAGGCACAGCCACACAACACGCGTACACACAGACAAGCCCAAGTCAGTCCCTTGGCTTGATCCACGGCAAATCACGCTTGCTTCACCAAGAGTCAGCGGTTGGAGGGGAAAAAGTCCGGCGCGAGGGTTGCAGCTGTGTCGCAGCACATCCACACAGAATATGAGAAGCTTTGAGAGTCCCTTTGCTTTTGCAGGAGATTTCGTCAGCCTTCCGATGTCCCTCCCAAGGTCATAGGCTGGATATGTTGACCGAACCTGCAATTTCCAGGATCATTTGCTGTAAAGGGGTGACATTGTGTACACCACGTTGCACCTGGAGCATTAGGGTTGCCAACACCACGTCAGGTCACAAGCTGAATCTGTGCCTCACATGGAGCTGATAACGTTTGGACTTTGTCGCTTTTCGTTTTTCCGCCGCATTTGGATCTGATAAGGGACAAGGCACTGGTCCAGAAGGTCGGCAACTATGGCTGAAAGATACCTGATCACGAAGGCCTGGCTGGCGGAAGTGGTGCCATCAGATGTTTCGTACACTCCTAGCTCATGCCCCAGAAGGCCAAAAGGCCAATGCCACAATAAAAACCTGGGTAGATGAAGGGTGCGGCCAAAAGCAGGCCTTTGACTCTTTGCCGGTTGAAAAGACGCCTTACGTTCCAGCGCTTGATCGCGGCATTTAAAAGGCTAGGGATGTTTGTCACCAAAATCGGCACCATTCGGAGTATGGAAAGCCGGCCGACCGCCGGCCGGCTCGCAATGAGGCTTCCCGACAGGTTTTGCAAGGGAAAGAACTGCGACGCGTTTTAGTGTGGCATTGGTTTTCTGGGGTGTTTACAGCCTACATTTCGGGTGGGGTACCAAAACGAAATCAGGGCGTATATGTGGACCACGCGCGAGATGAGTTCCCCCGAAACATCCAAAGCGCCAGCAACAGGCCGCCCATCCCCCCCATCGCCTTCTCCGCCGCCTGTGGCCCGAGAGGTGGCGACGGTGGAGGGGGCCGCGGTGCCGGAGCTGGTGAAGCTGAAGATCGCCCGCGACGAGAAGCTGGCGGAGGCGATGATGAAAAACCGGGGAGTCGCGGGGAGTCGCCAACTCGATGGGTGTGTGTCTCTCGGAGTTCGTACCCTTTGTGAGGTTGCTTTAGAAGGACACCAACAGGAAACCAGGGCAGTTTGTTTGCTTTCTTGTTTCATTGGTAGGTTGATTGGTCGGTCGGTTGGTTGGTTCTTTTGTTCTGTTTGCTTACTTGCTTGCTTGCTTGCTTGCTTGCTTGCTTGCTTGCTTGCTTGCTTGCTTGCTTGCTTGCTTGCTTGCTTGCTTGCTTGCTTGCTTGCTTGCATGGTTGGTTGTTTGGTTGGGTGGTTGGTTGGTTGGCTGGCTGGCTGGCTGGCTGGCTGGCTGGCTAGTTGCCCTTGTAGTGTTTCTGATTTGTAGTGTTTCTCATTTGGCAGCCCTTTTCCAGGGATTGAAGAATGGGCTTGTCATTCTTGGGACGCAACAAGTACCTCCTTCCACTCCTGCGCGGACAGGAGAAGAAGGCAGCCATAGAAGCTCAGAAGAAGACGCGGCAGGCTGGACATGGACGAGTCAGCCCTGCCTCAAGCCAACGTGGCACGCAGGCGGTCCCTTGAAAACGGCTCCCGGTGCAGGGACACGTTAGGGACACTGAAGGGAAAGCAAAAGCATCCGATTCCTGTTCAGGACACACCCATCTGGATAAACCGATAAACCAACGCCACCTCAGCGGGGGGGGGGGGGACTAGCTTAGGTTTGAGGGCTGGCCACAATGTCGTGGGGGTCATTCATGTATAGGTTGATAATTGGTTTTCCAGCTTGCCCTGAATTAGACACTGTGAACGTTTTCTATCCAACTGGTGGCAGTGTGCCATCGCTTACTTTTGGATGCATCTTGAAACGACGCGTGCCAAAAGCTCAAGTTGCACTTAGTCAATGCCACAGAAACTAGAGTGAGTTTAGCAGGGGAAGCAATGGCAACCAGTTTACTAACCAGCCATGCTACGGCTGGGTCAGTTTGGCATACAGACACAATATCCATTTGTGTTTTGAGCGACAGACAAAGTGACTGAAAAGCCAAGGTTTCTTTCTCGGTCCATCTCTGCGGGTTCGTCTCGAACCTTCCCTTTGGGGAATCCTCTAAACGTACTCAACAAAGGTGCGGGTTCCGGAGCCTGCAATGCAAACCCCCCAACGAAACGGTCAGAAGCAAACACGCAACACAAATCCCAAGTATCCAGATCAGTGAAGGCTGCTAAAATACATTTTGGCCATTCAACACATGGCCTTTTCCAGGGTTTCGAACGGGGGTTTAAACGTCTGAAGTCTCTGCTTCGATTCCCAAGTGGGGATGGTACCCTTTTTGGGATTGGGAAGCCAAACGCCAATTATTGGATCCACTGTGGATGGCCAGAATCCTGTTGCCATGGATGAAGCCCCATGAATACTGGGATAGCCTACGAACAGGTGCAGGATTTCGTCCATCAGTCTTTTCGCACATGGGTCTGGGTCATAAAATGAAACCACCAGCATCTGCACCGCCTAAATTTTCGTCCTTTCCATTTGCCAGGGCGGGCGAGCCACTTTTTGGGGTTTCCACTTCGATGTTTGACACAGCCACATTTTTCCTCGGATCCGTAGGAGGAGAGGGCCAAGCTCAAGGAGCGCACGGCCGCCTACGAAAAGGCAGAGCTCGGGCGGGTGCCCGCTGGCAAGCCGTCGGTCGGAGGTCTGGCTTGTGTGGTGCATTTCGGTGGCGCCTTTTTAAAGGTTGGTCCATTCTGGAATTTCCTGAACGCGATGCCAAGGCTGAGATGGGGAGTTCGATTCTGCCACATATGGTGTGTGGTGTTTTGTTTCTTCCCCGGGCACCCGAATTTGGCTTGTTTTGAATTTCGGACACCAAGGGAAACTACCCAGCTTGGAGGTTCCCACCATTTGGAGGTGCCCAGCTTGGTACTTCCTGTTGAAGGCTGGAAGAAAGAGTTCGTTGGGGAAGTTGCAAACGACTGGCCCGGCAAGCCAAGCTTTTTTTGGTTGACACCCCTGACTTTTTTTGGGTCTAAAGGAGCAAACGAGCAGGGGATGACCATTCTCTCAACGAGCTTAAATCAACAAATGGAGCTTTCCAATCACCGTAGTTTGTTTGGTTGACCCCCCGCGATTTATGCGGTGGGATTCTTTCGGGTTTCAAGGGGGCAACGTTCAAAGTCGCCGGATCCGCCAGATCCGCCGGATTGCTTCGCCAGGAATACGCGGACAACGCCGCGGAGCTGGTGAAGCTGAGAAGAGAGGCCAAGGTGAATGGGAACTTCTTCGTGGAGCCCGAGGCGGGAGCCAAAAATCGTTGGAGAAAAAGGCCCAAGCATCGTAGGGGAGTCCGAAAAATTGGGGTCTCTCTCTCTCTCGCTCTCTTTTTGTTGGTAGGGGAGTCCATTTGTTGTCTCTCTCTTTGCAAATGGCGTTCCATCTTTTTTCCTTCGTTTTCTTAGAAGTGCTCTTTCCCACACAACTCGAAGGAACATGTTGCGACGGCTTGCCTACCCGCGCGACCGGGTCTCTCAGTTGAACCCTCTCAACTTCACGGAAAGCGCAGTCGCAGTTGCACTGAATCAGATATCTGTGGCTCGTCTTTTTTTGGAGACCCTCAAAATGGTTGGTTTCTCTTTTGGTTTTCCCCTACCACCAAAATGTGTTCCTGTTCCTGGGATTTCTCATTTCCAGTTTCATCAACAGGCATCATTTGCTGCACAAGAACTTACCAATGGCCAGGACATGATCCCCATGATCCCCGAACCAAAGCGAGCGCTTCATGATTCGGCTCATTCTGAGCTGTAGTGCGTCGACAGGTTCTTTGGGCAGGACATGGGGACCAAAGTACCCATGAAAACCCCCACGGAAGGAGGCCTTTCGGGCTTTGGGGGACAAGCGTTGACAATTTGTGGGTTCCCATGAATCATGTTTCACCATTGAGGAATCCACCACGAGAAGCTCGTTTTTTCACAAGAAATTGATCTCCCCTCCACACTTGTGGAAGAGGCCTCGCCCAGTCTCACCCCGGCTCTGAATTTTCAATTGGGGAACCGCCTCAAAAGTGATTGGTGAACATCACCCCTACAAAAATCCCCCCCTCCCCCCACAAAAAGAAGAAGGAAGAAGCAGAAATACATAAAGCAAACAAAGGGCAAACTCCTCCCAAACTAAAATGGAAAGAAGACAAACACGGGCCTCTGATCTTATCACCAGCTGTGAGGCGAAGCTGCTCTTTGTGGTCCGCATCGCGGGTATTATCAAGATGAGCCCCAAGCCCAGGACATGGAAATTACCCGGGGGCCGTTCGATGCCTCCAGGCAAAGCCGAAAGGGGATGGCGATGCCCAGAAAATTTCCCAGAGCTTGAGGCAAAGCCAGGCTGTGCCTCACGGTGATTTGCATGGAAGCGGAAGTTGGCGTGCCGGGTAAAAACTGGTTGGTGTGATGCCAGCCTTGGATTGATCCATGAAGAACTTCCTTTTCTTTGGGGTCTCCTCCAAAACCACTACGTATTGCAGGGCAGACAAAACATGACGCAGCATCTGAAAATATGTCCTTTGGTGTAATGTTGACACCGGATTCGCAAACCCCTGGTTGATTATTATGGGGGTGGCCCCTTCTAGTGATTCGGCCTGTCAATTTTCAGGGGAGATCCCGGATCCTTAACTTTTTAGGCAAGCCCCCGTAGTTATTCGAGGTGTCTTGATTCGGGGTGCCCCACTCCGCCAGCGGGCATCCTTGCGAATGCTTGGGTCTGTGGCGCGAGCCCCGCCCCTTGCCCCGTGAAATTGCTCCCGGGAAGGTCTTGGGCCCGTTTTCTCAAGGCATCTAGAGATTACTTTGCAGCTTCTTTGGGGTTCCCATGAGACAAACCCAACGTGAGACAAACCCAGCACTGTCCCGCCTTCCATCCGCAGGAAGGTGTTGCAGCTACTGCGGCTGAAGCAGCTGCACAATGGGGTCTTTCTGAAGGCGCGTGGCTATTTTGGACGGCTTGCTTTTTGGGTGGTTTCTTAGAGGGAACCAAAGGGAAGCCAGCAATTCGGGGCGTTTTTTGCCTGGTGTTCGGGGTCTCGCAAAGGGTATGGCTAGTCAGAATGTTTTAAGGTGTCCAAAGCATGTATTATTTTGCCTTTTCTTTTCCCAGCCTTAAATCCAGTGGTCAGGTCTCATGTTGCACTCGCTTGTCCTGATCGGTGAAGAAGCCCTTTATGCAGATTCGTGCAACCAAACATAAACCTAGTAGGGGATCCCAAGGTTCCAAAAAGAGGGATGAGCACTTAAAGTGATGCAAACAACAATCCCTAAGCCTCAGATACCCCCCTCTCCCCGATTCTTCCCTTGAAACCAAACACCGGTTCGGGGTTTTTTAAAGGTTCGGTGAACCGAGTGCCCGTCCGAACCTTCAAGGCCCCAGAGGCATGCAGCCATGAGGTGAACAAGCCCATCCTGAACATGCTGAAGCTCGTGCAGCCCTACGTCACCTACGGCTTCCCCTCCCTGAAGACTGTGCGAGAGCTGGTCTACAAGAGGGGCTTCGGCAAGGCGAGCCAAGGGAGCGGAGCTCCAGACCTTTTTCGGGACAAGCCGCGGATATTTTTTGCGGTTTTCAGGGTCGGAGCAGGCCTTTTTTTCCCCCTCTTGAGGGTGGATTTTGGAACATCCCCTTCTTGGATCTCATTCCCCCCCCCCCATTTTTTTCTGAGTTATTGTTTGTTCGGCGCAGAACATGCAGCTGGGGGACAAGGGCAGTCCTGCAAGTTTGCGCGGTGTATGGGTATTTGGCACGGCCCTTGTTGAGAGGCGTATGCCCTTCTGGAAAGGGGCTGCGCTTTACATGCTTGTGGCTGGCTTGGCCAACTCATTGGGAAACGGACATAGACGCATGTTGCTTGGCGTGCCACAGCACAGGAAGTGCCTTCGTATTGGCAAAGGGGAAGTAGGGCGATCTCTGCATGCATTTGATTATATGGCGAGCTCAGCTGGGGGGAAAAAACGCTCGCCCACAGGACCTTCATCCTGAGAGCCAATTATTTCGGATTTGCAGAAAAGAGCACCATTTCGGTTGTTGTGCCCTTTTGGGGAAGCCATCCAAAATGGATCGCAGTGTTGCATTGGTACTTTGTTCAGGTCAATAAGCAGCGCATCCCTCTGTCCTCCAACGACATCATCTCGGACAGCTTGGGCAAGTGCAGGTCCCAGTTCTGCAGTATGTGCGTGAGGGCACCCAGTTTTGGGTGTCAGAGGGACACCCAAGAAAACCACATTTTTGTAGGTTCTCCAATTCGACAACCTGTGCCCATACGGGCATTTTTTTTTTGCGAGGGTACGCTTCCGGGGCGGTCGGTTGAAAGGGAAACTGAAGGGGACCAACCCGTTTTGGGTTTTCCCCATTGCCCTTAGAGACTGGAAGCTTGACATGACTGTGCCAAACATATGTTGCTTGAATCAGGGTTCCATTTTTCTTGGTTACCTCCCCGAAGGGTGCAAGAACCCGCTGGTTCATGTGGTTCAGGACGGGTTCTTGCATCCTTTTGGGGGGAAGCAACAAATCAATTTGTGCGTTCGTTGTGTGAGGGCACGCTTCTGGGTTAGTTAGAAGGGAAGCCAACTGGAATTGATATGCTTGTTTTGGGGGTTGCCCCTTTTTATTGATAGTCGCAATCTGACTTGCTTCAACTGCAACGCCGATGTACCGAGGTTCGGCATCCACGGAGTGGAGGACATCATCCACGAGATCTACACGGTGGGCCCCAACTTCAAGCAGGCGAAGGGTGTGCTTGTCGAGAGGGGTCCTCCTTTCACAGGGCTCCAGTTCTTGTTTCCTTTTCGGCCGGTTTCCGCGTCTCATTTTGGACATGCCACTTGAATCGAGTTTCCTGGGGGTTAGGGGGACTTAGGGCGGACATGTGTCTCATCTTCACCCAGCCTTGTGAATCCGATCCCTTGCACCAGGCCCTGTGCGATCGGATTTGGGTCAATGGGAAGAGAACTGCGAGATGTTTTGGAAAGCGCAAACTCAAGGCCTCTTCGCTTCTACGAGAATCCTGTGTGTGTGTGTGTGACTCTTCCAAGCGTGAAGCTTGGGAACGCCCCTCGTGGATGCAGGTGTCCAACTTCCTGTGGCCCTTCAAGCTGTCCTCCCCCAAGGGCGGCTTCATCAACAAGCGCGCGGCACTCAGCTGGCTCTCTGGCAGGGGTCACCGGATTTTTGGCTGGTTTTGAGCCTCACCCTTTTGGCCCATACGGTGAGCGTCCCTTTCCGGGGTGTGTCTCCTAGAAATTTTTAAGAGCCTCCGGCTCAGTCGGCCGACATTTCACCGCGAGCCTTCCAAGTTGAGCGGAAGAACCCTGTCATTTCCTCTTCAGTCCTTCTCATGTCCCTTTCAATTGCCCTTTGCCCTTTCATGTCCTTTCATGTGTTTTGGGCCTCCGCAGATGAAGGAAACTCTCCTTGTGGCGGCATGGCTGATGGCTCCGCTTTTAAGCTGGCGTGTACCAAAGTGACGAATCCCATCTTTGTCCAGGGGAAAGTCCTGGCACAGCCGCGGAGGGTGCCAACATGTCCCGGGAAGCTTCTGCGGCGAGCTGCGTCGGCGTTCTGCCAGTCTTGCGCCGTGTGCCTCCCCCTGACTGCGCTGGCCGGCCTACGCCCTTTCCGAGCCTGTTCGTGGATCTTGCCGGACTGACACACTGCCACAACACCGCAGCAGTCGTGAACCTAAACTTTTTGGTTTGGTGGCTTCGCCAGGTGCTTTTGCTCCACTGTTTGGTACAGGGTGTGACGCCTTCCAGATGCTCCCTGCTGTAGAGCCTGAGCCTTGTCAAAGACGGCTGAGTCTCTAGGTGTCATGTGTGTCAAGGGCCCCTGAGGCTCTACGTTGAAAACGAGGCTCAGTGGCGCTGGGTGGATAGCTGTTGGGGCGTGTTGACAAAGCCGAGGGAATAGAAGAGGCATGTCAATGGCAGACCTATTGGCACTGAGGTTTCTGTGCATCCGATCCACAACCTCATTACAACGCAGAGAACGGGGCCATTGTGAACCGAGACTGGTTCAATTCGAACTCGTGGGCTAGGTTCCACGCCAGACAGGGCTGTCGTTGGGGGGATGACGGTCATGAGGCAGGGCAATTTACAAACTTAGTCGACGCAGCCTGAGGCAGGAGGCCTGAGCACTTGAGCATTCAGGGAGGATGCAAGTTTCCAGCCATGCTCAGGTTTGCTAATGTTTGCCATAAAAAGGCTATGTCAGTTGGCGCCAAGGTGAGAAAATATTTGCCATCGCTTTCACATGCGGGGCTCCTTTCACTGCGCCGATTGCCCGTCGATGCTCAGAGCTCAAGAAGATGGCAACATTGTCTTCGAGCAAAGACACGCCTGTCAGGCGCAGAGCTGCGGGCCATCCCCCATGTTCCGGAAGGCAGCTGCATGGTCGCGCATCTCCTATGTGGTGCCATGCGGCCCCCTGCGCTGCGGGTTCGTTTCTCGAACGACTGGAAGGTTCGCTCTGGCAGACAATGCTTGACCGACAATTTGCCGGCCGGCGCAAAGGCAAATCGGCTTTGCCCCGGCTCTCTGCGTCATCATCCGCGATGAGGTGTGGGCGCGGTCCCAAACAGGGGGCGAATTCTTTCTGGCGCAGCCCGCAGCTTGTGAACAAGTGGCGCCGGTGCCAGCGCCCAAGTTCTGCATGTGCCTTTCGACTGTTTGGTATAAGGTGTGTGCGACAAGGTACACCTCAAGCGGGCCTAGACGCGGGCAGGTTTCGAGCCGAAAAGTGCTCCAAATAGGAGCCCGCTGGGTGTCTAACGTCACTTTTGAATCCTTGGCTCAGTAGGTCTACAAGAGCTAGGATGAGATCACCCTTCCCGTGCGCCTCACCCTTGTCGGCGGATCTCCATGTCCTTTGTCTTTGGGTTTGTAGGCTGTCTCACGCGCACGAGTTGACCCGCGTGACAGGGTGTGAGCGGCATCTGAAACGAGATGCCAGGGACCCTCCAAACAAAGGGGGTAGGACGAGAAAGAAAGCTGGGGTCTTTCAAACGAACTGGCTGCAGGAATGGGTCTACCTTAAGATGAGGGAACTAGACATTGTGGTTTTCCTTTTGGGTTGTCCTTGAAATTCAACCAAAGGGTTTCTTTCCCACCACCGAAAAACACGCAAACTCCCGTCCATGGGTCAGGTTTTTTGGAACGGCTTCTTCCAAGCAACCCGTGAACCGCGCCCTACCCTCTGTCCAACAATCTGTGGACGGGTCCTTAAGAGGAAATTGTTTTACCCCAATCGTCAGCTGGGTTTTACACGTTGAGCGGGTAGTTGGGTACGCGCCTTTTTTGGGGGATAGAAAAACCCATCCCCACTGAAAGATCCATTTGGAGCTGCCAAAAAAGATCGCGAGGCCATGGCTTCTGCGAGGGCCGGGGCGGAGATTGGGGCAACCGCGAGGAGCGGACGGACGAGTCCATCGGGGATATAGACTTATGTTCATCGGATTTCGGTCCCCCCAAAAAGGTACTTTCGCGTGCGTGTTCTCGCCCAAAGGCCTTGGAGGTCTTGAACGGGTTCCTGAAGAGCCTCTCAAGGGGCTGTGGGTTGTTTGCTTATGTGAACCATCAATACTCTCCATCATTAGGGAATGACAAAAAAACAAGGCGGAATTTCGGGGGGGGGGGGGACCAAATTGCCTGTCCCAGATGACCCCTGATGGCCGTGGGGGGGGGGAATCGCCCCTTTGGGGTCTTCTCCAAAACTATTCCATATAGGGTAGAAATATGAAACAGAACATGTTTTTCAGTGATTTCTGTGTCAAATCAAGTTGGGCCAAGGCGCCTTCCTTCACGCTGGCATCCTTCTTCTCAGGAGCTTATCAATGACCTGCTGCGGCGCATGAACTGAGGGACTCGAGTGAGATGTGGGGCCAGTGGCAAAAAGAACAGTTCGGAAGGACTACTTGGTGCGAAGAACACTTCCTGGGAATAGAAGGATCTTCCACTTTGCTCAAATGGGCGCCTTCCATAGTTGAGGTTTTTGGGTTTTAGGTGGCCTTTTTTTTTTGGCAAGCTGGTCCTTTACACCGTTTCTGAAAGCACAACAACACTCTGTCTGGCAAGAGGAGAATCAGGCATGCCATAGACCCGCATGTGGGCATGTGGCACTGAGAGATTGACGCCGTTTGGACAAGCGTAACGCGATTCGGAAATGAAATGCATGGGGTACCCAGTTCTATCGAGCTCGTGGTGGGTCTCCCTAAAGAAGACCAGCCTTTCTTTCCGCGCAAAGGGCGCAGCACATGTTTCGCCCCGAAAAGTGCTCGGCGAGCTTGGCTTGCAATGCGTCAGTGGTCCCCAGTCACGGATTGCCTGTGGCTCGAGCAGTCGGCGACAAAGATGGCTGAACGGTATTTGATCACCAAGGCCCGGGCGGGCGCCTTGCTAAAACATGTTCGGTCTAGTGGTTCATTGTCCGGGCGGCTTCCCCCTGCTGATTAACGGAAGGAACCCAACCATCATTGGTAGAGGAATCTCGTTTTGGGGGATCATTTTTGGGTTCCATGTTAATATGCAGGGGAGCAGCTTGCTTGTTTTAGTGCAACAACCTTTTGCCTTTTGGGGTTTCTTCCATATTTCCTCTCAACCAGCAAAAAATATGTTGGGTCTAAGCCCGGCCCTTTGGGATGCCAAATGCGGCTGAACCAGCCCAAACATCGAATTAACAGAGTGTTGGGGCATCCATCCTGTTTTCTTTTGCAAGTATGCTGGTCAGCGGCTGCAAGCTCACTGTTTGTCTACTGCATGGGGGGTTGTTTGTTTTGTTTTGCTTTGTCTTGTCTTGTTCTGGGTTTGTGTTTGTTTTGTTTTGTTGTTTGTTTTGGTTTGGGATTAGTTAGTTAGTTAGTTAGTTAGTTAGTTTGTTAGTTTGTTTGTTTGTTTGTTTGTTTGTTTGCTTGTGTGTTTGTGGTTGTGTTTGTTTAGAGAAGCAAAGAAGGGACGGAATCGGCGGTTGGCAGCATTTGGAAGATATATGAACTGGTTTTGTGTCCGACAGTCGGGCCCGGTGTCAAACACGAACCAACACGACTCGATCATTTCCAGGCTTTGATTCAAGTTCCAAGCTCAGTGATGCTCTACGACTACCAAGTCATAGACCATATTTGCCATGATCAAACAGATCTGAGAATCATGGATCCTTTGTTTGTTTTCCGACAGCGAGTATAAGGATTCAGGTGAATAGAACCATGAGCATGGCTTGTGCAATTGATTGTGGCGCACGTGAGCTACGGTAAAACTACGCAGCTTCTCAAGTGGAATGGGACAAACGAGTGAGTCTCCACAATTTGGGAGTTCCATGGTCATGCCCCCTAAGGCCAGGGTGTGTCTTCTTTGGGGGTACCAAGCTTTTTGTGGTAAGGAAAACCAAAAGGACAACCGCAAGTTTTGGGGGGTCCCACTTTCCCAGGGTGGAATCGATGTTAGGCGTTGGGTCGACTCGTTCCAATTCCCAGCGTTGGGTCGAATTGCATGGGGAGACAGCCTGGCGCATGTGGGGTGTCTTTTGGTTTCCAGGAAGTAGTGTTTGCTAGGTGTTACAGTGTTCAAGGAAAAAGGGGACGCCCATTTCGGAGGTTCTATCTTTTGAAAAGCCTCGTATGCCTTTGACTCCTCTCCAAGTTTGGGCCTATGGCCAGGGACCCGCAGATCAGGTGGCGTCGGTGGAGGGGGCGGCGGTCCCGGAGCTGGTGAAGCTGAAGGTCGCCCGCGACGAGAAGCTGGCGGAGGCGGACGCGACACGTGGCCATGGCGGCCATGGCTTGCATAACCCATGGCTCAAAAATGTGGAGTGGATGAACATCAATTTGCCACCTATTTTGTTGTTCATGAGGGGTAGGGGGTTTTCATGATTGCAAGTATCTCAATCACTAACCCCATGTGGGGGTTGATCAATCTTCCATTTAGGGCCCCCCAGTTTTGACCATGGGTAGCTTTTCCCGTTTAGCGGGACAACTTGAAAATAATATCATCTCTTTCGTGGGTTTCCTGCAATGGTCATCCCGTGTCAAGGACCTTTTGGTCACCCCCCCTCATGGGAAAGGCAAACTAATATGGGTGGCTCGTCAGTTTTTGAGGGTACCCCTGTTTGTGGGTTTGAAGGGACACCAAGGAAAGCCAGACTGTTTTGGGGATTCCAGAAAAATGACAAACCCAGATGCCAACAGCTTGAAGTTCCCTCAGTTCTATGATGACAGGGTTCCTGAGCCACAATGAGCACCTGGCCCGAAGGTTTTGTTTGACAAGTTCGAACATGCCCCGGGTCGCAGGGGGTCTGAGTTTGGCCTCAATTCCTGAGGAGTCAGAAGTTCGTGTGCTTAAAAGAGGTGTGCAGTGCACAGATCCAACAAAGACAGAGTCCACTTTGGTTTGGGCCAAGCAAAAGGTTTCAGTCTAGGTTGAGCCTTTTTTTTCAAAAAAAATAGACTCTGGATCCAAGATCCAAGGTTGCTGGGGGACTTTTGGGGAACACTTGGATCCATGAATGCCCCCCCCCCCCCGCCCGAAATTTTAATACCGGATCAAAGATTGCTGATAGCTTGGGACGGCTGGATCAGAACATGTCTTTTTTGCCGTATGCCTTTCCCGACAAGAAAAGAACCCAGTGTATGTTTAACCCCCAAACGGGATCCACAAGCCCCGGGCACAAACCGGGCACTTCCATGAGGAGAAGAAGGCGGCCATTGCGGCGATTAAGAAGACCAAAGAGGCTGGAGATCACGCGGCACTGCTTCCCGAAATGAGCGCGTGACACAAGCGCATTGTTCCCTACTTGCAGTGTTTGGAGAATTACGTGTAGCATGGACTCCTATAAGCAGAACAGAGCAGCACAGCACAGCCCGCTTCCCAGGAGGAGAGGGCAAAGCTCAAGGAGCGCACAGCTGCCTATGAGAAGGAGCAGTCCGTGGCTGAATGCATTTTCTGATTTGTGATTTGCTTTTGCTGTCTCTATCCTCGCATGAGCATGTATCAAACGCATTTTGCTGCAAGGAGTATGCAGAGGCTTCAAAGGAGCTTGTGAAGCTCCGAAGGGAGGCAAAGGTGAACGGCAACTTCTTCGTTGAGCCAGAGGCCTGCTTTTTGAGAACCAATCACGCCAGCCCACTAGTCATGTCAGGCAGTTCGCAGGTAGCCGGCACAACCTGGGTCATTCGAATGTGCACGAAGTTCACGCATCAAACCGTATCTGGCCAGTGGAGGTGAAGGAGTGTTGCAGTCTGTCTGAGAACTTGATTCCACGAGGCAAAGCTGCTGTTTGTCGTTCGTATTGCGGGCATCATCAAGATGAGCCCCAAGCCAAGGACGGGATAGCAGGGATACGTGCATGAGATCAAGCGTGGCTGGTCCTCAGTTAGCAATGGCCGGGAGGTGTAGGGAAAAGGGGAGTACAGAGGCTGCGAGTGGCTTGATCCAGGAAAGTGCTGCAGCTGCTGCGCTTGAAGCAGCTGCACAATGGCGTTTTCCTCAAGGCTCGAGTGCGTGTGTCAGACACGGAAAGAAGACTCAACTTTGGAATCAAGCGAGCGAGCCACATTGGGGTAACCAAAAAGGTAAGCAAACATAGCTCTGGGAACATCCCAAGGCCAGGCGTGAAATCAAAAAAAAACGTTTAAACAAGAACACACTGGAGCCTCCAGGCAAATTCAGAAAGCAACACAAAAGAAAAACGGGACCTCCATGCGTGATATTTCAATCATGTGATTCCAACAAGAAAAGCACCGAGCCGCCGGCGGTGCAGCAACGGTCCTCCGCATCTCCATCTTGTCCAGCGTGCTGGTTGTGGGCGCAAAACAAGAGGTCTCGTGTCCCTCGGCCCGAATTCCTTGCGCAGTGGAGAGATGACCCACTGAAGCAATGGATCTTTTTGGCCAGTTTGTGCGTGTCTCTGGTGTGGATATGTCAAGGTTGCTACCTTGGCCCCACTATCTTCAAGCGGCGCTACAATGGAGCCCTCCGCGGCTGTCCTGCCGCACGTGCCGAAAACTGCGGCTGTGCCGGGGCTTGGGCCGAGGCCTCGCAAGCAGCGCGCTGAGCCCCAGCTGAGGTCTTCGGTTCCCGCCTCTCTCTGCCGCATCCCCAAAGCAAGGAGTGCCTGGCGCTGCGCGGCAGCTCTGGGCGGTGCGACCGACGGTGACTGGCGGTTCGGAGATCCGCGTGGTTTGGGCTGCGCCTCGCAGTCGCCGCGACAGAAGGCTTCCACCGGGGCTCCCAGCCCAGAGGATGAAGGCTTGACAGGCCGTGCCGGAGGTGTGGCTCGCGGTCTGCGCGAAACCACGGCCTTGGCGTGCGGCGCCGAGGAGCGGCCCGGAACCACAGTAGAGTGACAGCTGAAAACTAAGATGAACAACATGCCCCCCTTAAGCTCGGTTGGCCAGGGGTGAGTGAATTAGGCTAGAAACAGATACAATGGCAAACCTCCAGAAGGGAAAGCCGTTGGGGTGAAATCTACACAGTGAGCCGCAGAGGGCAACTGATGCAACGCGCAGAAACAAGGCCATGCCGCTTCCCGCCTTGGTGGGAAGGGCGGCAATCCCTGCAAATGGTAGGACAACGTGCAAGACTGGCTTGGCACAGTTTCTGGTGCCTTAAACTCATTGAAAAGTGTGAGCGTTTGGCCACGCCTTCAGACTGTTACAAAGGATTCCTGACGTCGTGGGCCACACTTGAACTGAGGCTGAGCGTCGCGCTTAGTGCTTCCAGGAAAACCGGCAAGAGCTGTTGCAGCATGCTGCACCCCGTTTTGGCAGTACTCGCCTGACCGGTGTGAAGGCGACTCCGTTGCTAGCAAGCAAACGAACTAGTATGAAGATGTGTCGCCGAAGCTCTTTGGCAACATTTCAAATATCCTAAAGCGATCGCGAAGAGAATAGTTGCTCTTGCTGGAGCTTCGGAGCACGAGCCAGGTGGTGGGCAGCCGGAGCTAGCGCGCTGACATGTGCAAGAACACCTTTTTCGTTTTGACTTCACGTGTCCCCGGCGCAGCAGCAAACCGCGAGGCAGCCAAAAGGAGGTGAGCCGCAGAGCCCGTGAACCCCCGAATAATTTTGTGTTCGGCAGGTGAACAAGCCCATCTTGAACATGCTCAAGCTCGTGCAGCCGTACGTGACATACGGCTACCCGTCCCTGAAGACCGTCAGAGAGCTGGTCTATAAGAGGGGCTTCGGCAAGGCAAGCGGGCCTGAATGCATTTCCTGCTTAAGTGTTTTGAAACATCGAGTTGTAGTTGCCCCAATTTGTGTGAGCGTCAAATGCTTGGCCAAACTTTGTAAGCTTGTACGATGGTGCTGGAAGTGGGAGGCTACCTGTTCAGCTGATTGAGCTAAATACGGGCTTTGTATTCGCAGGAGGGGCTCCACGCAACAGCAAGTGCTGAACCCGTATTTGTGCTGGGATTTTTCGCGGTCCTGAGCTCAACAGGTCAACAAGCAGCGCATCCCCCTGTCATCCAACGACATCATCTCGGAGAGCTTGGGCAAGCTGGGGCCCCAGTTCCTGTTCGCAGTACATTGAGTTCCGAGCAACTAAAGAGGTAATTATGGTCGAGGGGTTTGTTGGTGAAACCTTCCAAATGGTCCAATATGTTATTTCGAGATTTGGCAACCTCTGCATGAGTCGCCATTTTTTGGCTTGGTTTCCATGCCAAAAACCCAGCCGAGGTTCGGCATCCATGGCATGGAGGACATCATCCACGAGATCTACACCGTGGGCCCCAACTTCAAGCAGGCCTGGCCAGGAGGTAACCCCAAATGCCTTTTCGTCCAAAGATTCATAGGTAATTGCCCTGCGAGACCCAAAAGGGAAGTCAATGTTCCCCTGACTTTGGGCCTGGGGCTTTCCCTTACAGTTTCCTGCTCTTGGTGTTTTGATTGGGGAAGCCAAAACCGAAACCATGAAACACCACCCCCCTACTTTGGAGGAGATACCCTTCGTCAGGAAGCGACATGTCGCCATGTCACCCACAGGTGTCCAACTTCCTGTGGCCCTTCAAGCTGTCCTCGCCCAAGGGCGGCTTCATCAACAAGCGCCCGGGCCTCAGCGGGAAGCCTGCAACCCGGGGATTCCAATCGGGAGTCTCCAGAAGGCGGAGCCATCTCGCGAGTAGATCGCTGCCAGAGTGGTGGGGCAAGCATTTTGCTCTAGAGCTTCCACTGGAACTGTGAGGGAAACAAGGCAACCTTGGAACAACGGAAACCAAAAGGAAGCGGTTGAGACAATTTTCGGTATCTGTGTTTTTGGGGTCCAAACTTGTATTTTTATATGTCGCAGGGCTTCCTGAATTCTTGGGATGATTCAACCAGTGGATATTCATTCCTTAATGCAGACATTGAAAGGGTGTGTTTGCAAGTCACGTTTCACCTTTGCGGACATAATGAGGTTTAGGGCAACTTTCTGTGAGTGGCCCATGGAATCCCCTTCAAAGTGACAACGCGATCGTGGCGGTTCACAACCCCACTCTGGTTGCACAGGGGTTGTTTTTTCACCGCCCCGCTTCTACATGAGGGTGAGTCTTCTTGTGGGGAGCCCCTCTGGTTTTGGCCAGCACAAAAGGGACAAGTCGCCATGGGCCCGCCCCCCATTTGTGTGTGTGTCTTTCTTTCTTTAGCTCAAATGGTCGTCCTTTGGTTCCCTTTACCACCCCCCCCCGGAATGCGGGGAAAACCGAGGCCACGGCTTCTGCGAGGGCCGGGGCGGCGACTGGGGCAACCGCGAGGAGCGCTCGGGGCTTTGGGCTGCCAATTTTATTTGTTCTACATTGTTGTTACAAGTAAGGTCCGGCAGAGCCGCGGGGCGGAAGTTTCAAAGCAGTGAACAACTATAGTTTGGAGAACTGTCCTTGGCCCCTTGCTTCTCTCCCTCTCTCTCTTTTTCTCTCTTTCTCTCTTTCTCTCTTTCTCTCTTTCTCTTTCTCTTTCTGTTTCTCTGTCTCTTTCTCTCTCTTTCTATCTATCTCTCTAGCTATCTCTATATCTGTTTATTGATCTATCTATCTACCCATCTTTCTCTGCACTTAAAAGTTGCGATGTTCAATCCCCGAAAGTTGACTTCGCGTACTACTTTCGTACTTAAAAGTTGCGATTTTCGAGCCCCAGCTGCGAAACTGGACTTCACGTACTACTTTCGTAATTAAAAGTTGCGATTTTCGAGCCCCAGCTACGAAAGTGGACTTCGCGTACTACTTTCGTACTAAAAAGTCGCGATTTTCGAGCCCCAGCTGCGAAAGTGGACTTTGCGTACTACTTTCGTACTTAAAAGTTGCGATTTTCAAGCCCCGGCTGCGAAAGTGGACTTTGCGCACTACTTTCGTACCCCCAGCTACGAAAGTGGACTTCGCGTACTACTTTCGTACTAAAAAGTCGCGATTTTCGAGCCCCAGCTGCGAAAGTGGACTTTGCGTACTACTTTCGTACTTAAAAGTTGCGATTTTCAAGCCCCGGCTGCGAAAGTGGACTTTGCGCACTACTTTCGTACTTAAAAGTTGCGATTTTCAAGCCCCAGCTGCGAAAGTTGACTTCGCGTACTACTTTCGTACTTAAAAGTTGCGATTTTCGAGCCCCGGCTGCGAAAGTTGACCTTGCAAAAATGCTGCGCCTGCCACCAAATCTGTGCTTGACCTTGCTAAAGTGCTGCGCCTGCCACAAAATCTGTACTTGACCTTGCGAAAGTGCTGCGCGTGCCACGAATTTTGCACTTGACCTTGCGAAAGTGCTGCACCTGCCACAAATTCTGTACTTGACCTTGCGAAAGTGATGCGCCTGCCACGAATTTTGTACTTGACCTTGCGAAAGTGCTGCGCCTGCCACGAAATCGATACTTGACCTTGCGAAAGTGCTGCGCCTGCCACGAAATCTATACTTGACCTTGCGAAAGTGCTGCGCCTGCCACGCAATTCAAACCTTGCGAAACCTTCGCGCGGCCGTGCCAATGGGCCCGTCTCCGAACCCGTTCCGAGACCGTTCCGAGACCGTTCCGAGACCGCCTCCGTACAGGCGTCGCAGCCGAGGTGGTTTGCGCACAGTCCGGAAGCCCAATTCACGCACAGCGCCAACGTTTTCTGCATCTTGCCATCCCCCAGCTCGCAGAGAGTGGACGCAGCACCTTGCGAAAGTGCTGCGCCTGCCACGAAATCGATACTTGACCTTGCGAAAGTGCTGCGCCTGCCACGAAATCTATACTTGACCTTGCGAAAGTGCTGCGCCTGCCACGAAATCTATACTTGACCTTGCGAAAGTGCTGCGCCTGCCACGCAATTCAAACCTTGCGAAACCTTCGCGCGGCCGTGCCAATGGGCCCGTCTCCGAGACCGTTCCGAGACCGTTCCGAGACCGTTCCCGTTCCGAGACCGCCTCCGTACAGGCGTCGCAGCCGAGGTGGTTTGCGCACAGTCCGGAAGCCCAATTCACGCACAGCGCCAACGTTTTCTGCATCTTGCCATCCCCCAGCTCGCAGAGAGTGGACGCAGCACCTTGCGAAAGTGCTGCGCCTGCCACGAAATCGATACTGACCTTGCGAAAGTGCTGCGCCTGCCACGAAATCTATACTTGACCTTGCGAAAGTGCTGCGCCTGCCACGCAATTCAAACCTTGCGAAACCTTCGCGCGGCCGTGCCAATGGGCCCGTCTCCGAGACCGTTCCGAGACCGTTCCGAGACCGTTCCGAGACCGTTCCGAGACCGCCTCCGTACAGGCGTCGCAGCCGAGGTGGTTTGCGCACAGTCCGGAAGCCCAATTCACGCACAGCGCCAACGTTTTCTGCATCTTGCCATCCCCCAGCTCGCAGACAGTGCTTGCGAAAGTGCTGCGCCTGCCACGAAATCTATACTTGAGAAAGCTATCTACGTGTTAAGCTGGCTATATGTCAAAGCTATCTATCTGTCATGCAAGCCTATTGGAAAGCTATCTATCTGTCAAGCTAGCTATATGTCAAAGCTATCTATCTGTCATGCAAGCCTATTGGAAAGCTATCTATCTGTCAAGCTAGCTATATGTCAAAGCTATCTATTTGTCATGCAAGCCTATTGGAAAGCTATCTATCTGTCAAGCTAGCTATATGTCAAAGCTATCTATCTGTCAAGCTAGCTATATGTCAAAGCTATCTATTTGTCATGCTAGCTACCTGTCATAGCTATATGTCAAAGCAGCTAGCTCATTTAGTTCCAGTACTACGGAAGTTTCTTGTTAAACTTCCTTTGATTATATTCTATGGTATTCTTATTATTAATGAGTTACTGTTATTGTTAGTACTATTGTCTTTTAAGCATATTTATTTGGCCCCTTTTTGGGGTTCCAAGCCGGTGTTTGGATTCGCATTCTGGGTAAGCAGGTTGTGCTTATGACTCACTTGGGAGCACAGTCTCAGTGGGACGGCTGGACTTGGCCGTTCCGAGATCGGGCGGTTTGAAATCGCCTTTTGGGGAAAATGGGAAATCGCTTCCCGTTGGGCGGGTTCAGTTTTGAAAAACGCGGTAGCCTCTTTGCTTGAGGAGCTGATCAACGACCTCCTCAGGCGCATGAACTGAGGGCTCCTGAAGCGCATCCACCGACCCTTTGGAGAAATGTGGGACGCGCGGCTCTGGGGTTGGCGCCATTGCGACTTTCTGGTCGGGAATGGTTCTCGAAACAACTTTTTCCTTTTGAAAGGTGGTCATGGAAACCGGGTGGGGGACTTGCACTATGGCTTGCAGATGCTGCATGGCACATATCACCCGCTCGGCCTCCGCTTGCGGCTCGAGAGGCCAACTGGCCGGAAGATTTCCCCATCGGGCGGGTGTTAGGCGGCATGGCGGAGCGTTACCTCATCACCAAGGACCCCCCTGCTTTTTCGATTTAGAGAAACGTCGGGGGGGGGGGGGTTTTCGGCGACTTAGGCGAAACCCTCTACAAGGGTTCGATGTGGTTTGGTGTGTGAATGGCGAGGCCTATGGGTAAACACCTGGTTGCCGGGGGTTGTGTAGGGATTTCTCCTGGTTTAGACGCGTGATTCCAGAGAAAGCCATGAACACGGCCAACGTCGGCGTGCTACAGCTAAATTCAGACACATGTGTGGACGTTGTAGGTTGCCATTTTCCGTGGGCCAAGCGAGCTCCAGCGACTCCCTTTGCCTCGCAGGTGGCGACGGTGGAGGGGGCGGCAGTTCCGGAGCTGGTGAAGCTGAAGGTCGCCCGCGACGAGAAGCTGGCGGAGGCGGCCTGGGGGGGATGGATGAAGCCCGACAAGCCGCTGCAGTACTTGTCCATAAAACCGTGTTTTCCTTTCCTCTTTTTCGTGGCGTTTTCGGCGTCATAAATATGAGTTTCTTTCTGGCGGGCTGTATGAGAGCTGATAGAAGGGACCCTGAAAAGATGCAGTTTGGGGTCAACCTCAGGTTGGAGGGTTCTGATAGAAGGGGAGGTTCCCCACGCAAAACCTCGCGAGTGATTCGTTTGGCATATGCGTCGTGGTTTTTGGGGCCCCCTTCATTCTGGGCGGGTTTCCTTTGGGTTTCAGTTGAAAACCACACAAAAAAGGGGTACCCTCAACATAACAACCCATGTCGGCGTGTATTTTGCTGATCCCCCTGTTATAGGATTGTGTACTTCAGGGAAATTCCAGAAACTCCACCCAGGTTCCTGGAAAACAGAGACAAAGCTATCTCTGCCATGGCGAGAATAGTCCCTTTTGGGGTGAAGACAGGGGTTCGACCTGGGTTTGGATCGATCCTTCGCCACTAGAATGATTCCTATTCAGGGAATCGTGACCCACAGAGTTTTGACCGTGGCACATATGAACTAAGCGCAATGAACTCAAAGATGGGTTCACATTTTCGAGAGGCCTTTGGAACCGATGTCCGTTCCATGAAATGAGCCAACTCCTCAAATTGGGCAAACCTGTTTGGATTGCGGATGTTCATGAGGACAACTAAGGGAACTCATGGATTTCTGACTGGGACCCCTATTTCTGGCCACCTTGCGCATTTTGGGTAGTCGAACATCGCGTTGGACCTTGCACAGATTGGGCTTTTTGCAGTCCCTGGTGTGTAGGAATCGAGGAGCACGTCAAAGGGGACTGTTGGGTTGCACCTCCCTTCTTGGCAGAACGACCCCGCCCCACCTTGCAGCCCCGCAATTGGCGCTATACACCAGGGTGACTCGGTGATGGTTTCTTGGCGATATTTTTGAGCGTGGCAGTGTGTCAAGGCTTGGAGCCCTTTTGGGAATGTTTTGAGAGGGGCCATGCAACATAAATCTCGGGGGCGGGCGTCCCATTTCTTTTTCACGCTTCCCATGTGGATTCCCTAACTGCAAGAGAAAAGGGAAAGCTTTGCACGCTTTAATCACAGTTTTTTGAAGGAATCAGCAGTCAAGTGCAGTTCTTGGGGACCTGGGCCCCTCCCATTTCCAGAGGGTCTGCGCAGGAGAAGAAGGCAGCCATTGCTGCGAAGCAGAAGACCAAGGAGGCCGGGGATCCGCTGCGGAAGGTGGATTCCAGTGAGAATGCGGTCCGATCATGCTGGCAAAATCCGTTGGCCCCACCTCAGACACCACGGTTGAAACTATTGTTGGTTTGTATTTAAAGGGGAATCATCATTCCAGGGTTTCTTTGGTGGTCAGTAGGACCCTGTTTGATAAACTAGAAGGTTTCCAACTTGTTCCCCACTTGATTCATATTTAGGGAAGCAGCGCGCAGGAGGAGAGGGCAAAGCTCAAGGAGCGCACAGCTGCCTATGAGAAGGAGCAGTCCGTGGCTGAATGCGTTTTCGGATTTGTGTTTTGCTTTTGCTGTCTCTATCCTCGCATGAGCATGTATCAAACGCATTTTGCTGCAAGGAGTATGCAGAGGCTTCAAAGGAGCTTGTGAAGCTCCGAAGGGAGGCAAAGGTGAACGGCAACTTCTTCGTTGAGCCAGAGGCCCGCTTTTTGAGAACCAATCATGCCAGCCCCACTAGTCATGTCAGGCCTGCCAAACGCAAGCTTGGGTCACTCAATTGGTATTTGTCAAAGCTAGGTACCGATTTCTGGATCAAGTCACCGGCACAACCCATTTTTTCGAAGATAAAAGCCATTTGCAGGCCTTGCGGCAGTGTTGGCCAACGGTAGTGAATGAGCGCTCGATTCCACGAGGCAAAGCTGCTGTTTGTCGTTCGTATTGCGGGCATCATCAAGATGAGCCCCAAGCCAAGGACGGGATAACAGGGATACGTGCATGAGATCAAGCGTGGCTGGTCCTCAGTTAGCAATGGCCGGGAGGTGTAGGGAAAAGGGGAGTACAGAGGCTGCGAGTGGCTGGAAGGAAAGTGCTGCAGCTGCTGCGCTTGAAGCAGCTGCACAATGGCGTTTTCCTCAAGGCTCGATCGGAAGATCGGAAGATCGGAGCGTGCGAATGGATGGCGAGACGGGCTGGAGGGAAAGATCCAAGATGTATCATGGGAGTGCATGTTTAAAGCGAAGCAAAGAATCGGAGAGGACCTGGAAGTCGCAGAGTACACGTGTAGTGAACCGGAAACTGCTGGAAGAAGTGAACCCGCAAAAGAGGCAATGGTCCTTCTGCAGGTGAACAAGCCCATCCTGAACATGCTGAAGCTTGTGCAGCCGTATGTGACCTACGGCTACCCGTCCCTGAAGACCGTCAGAGAGCTGGTCTACAAGAGGGGCTTTGGCAAGGCAAGCGGGTGAATTCGCGTGAGCTCTCAGGGGTTTCCCACTATCTAATATCTCCCTCTTGGGTGCAAAGAAGAAGTGGATCTGGCCAGCTTTGGCCAGCTTGCAAACAAGAACATGTAAGATGATGGCGCTTGAGGTGGGGTTTATGTTGGTTGCAAGATGTTTTGAGGGCCAAGATCACCCGGGTACTGTTGGCCTAGCTGGGAAATGTCGAGAGCGCAAGCCGCTGCGTTTGGGTTTGCAGGATGCACCGGGAATGGCATGCCTGTGAAAATGAGGTTGGGGAATCCCACTTATCACAAAAGTTGACCATCATTCTGCCGCCCATGAGAAGCGAGGCATGTGCTGGGCTTTCAGCGCTTAGTTCAACAGGTCAACAAGCAGCGCATCCCCCTGTCATCCAACGACATCATCTCGGAGAGCTTGGGCAAGCTGTGGCCCCAGCGCCAAACAGCGGAGTACATTGAGTTCGGAGCAGCTTACGGGTTATGGTCGAGGGGTTTGTTGGTGACACCTTCCAAATGGTCCAATACATTATTTCGAGATCTGGCAACCTCGGCATGAGTCGCCATCTTTTGGCTTGGTTTCCATGCCAAAAACCAGCTGAGGTTCGGCATCCATGGCATGGAGGACATCATCCACGAGATCTACACCGTGGGCCCCAACTTCAAGCAGGCGCCTTCTTCGGGTTGAACGCACGAACGTAGGATTTGCTAGATGTCAGAAGTGAACCAACCAGGTCGGCCCACAAAACCCTGGAAGTCAAAAATGCGATGAACGGCGGGGTGTGCCTGCTTGCAGGATGTCGGGTTTCCATATTAACAGAGCTACGGTTACGAGGAGATCAGGCAGAGAGCGGTTAGATGTTCCTTCATTCCACGAGTCGCGCCTTTTTTTCCGACTCGCATCGCTGAAAAAGAGAGACGGCAGCTACGACGCTGAGGATCGTTGCAGGTGTTTGATTTTGTTGCAAAATAGGGAGACCTTCAAAAACGGGGCTTGTTTCCTTTTGGTTCCCTTCAAATGGTTTCCCTCAAAAACGGACAGACCCTCGTGAGGCGGTTTTGTCATAACTGGGCGCCTCAGGCCACTTTTTGCCGTGCGTCCTGAGGGCCTTGGCTGTGCCTTTTCGATCTCCAACATTCTGGCGGTTTCCTTGGAGCCGCAAGGAAAGCATCAAACACCCTCTTTCCCATGGGCGGCGAAAAACACGCCTTCAGGAAGCGATGGCGTTTCAAACGCCATGCCAATTCGCAGGTGTCTAACTTCCTGTGGCCCTTCAAGCTGTCCTCCCCCAAGGGCGGCTTCATCAACAAGCGCGCGGCACTCAGTTAGGCGCCAAAAGCCGCTTGGCTTTTGCCGAATACTTTTGAGGGGTTGTAAAGGTTTAACCTTTAAACCAAAAGGGGGAACCCCCCAGAAAATGCACCCAAGAGTCTGCAGGTTGTTTGTCACACGCTCCTCTCTAGTGGGGGTTTCTGACTGACTTACCGCGTTTTTGGGCACTTGTACCCATCGGCGGTGTTGGCATTGTTGGCCCTTTTTCAACCAGTCTTCCGAAAGGGGTCACGGCGCTTCCGAAAGTTAGTTTGTGGGTCATAGACGAGTGCCTCTGGAAGTGAGCAGAAAGGTGCGCCCACAGCCTTAGAGGAACCACCGCAGGTTTCCCTTTGTGGAATCTCAAGCACCCATTCCGAGCCTCCAAAAGATGTCTAACACTTTTGGGGGAGAAACGTGGCTTTCGTTTGCTTGGTGTCCTTTCACGGCTTAAATTGCTGCTCTGCCAGGGTTTGGGAGGCGTTTCCTTTGCCAAGGAATCAGAGCACTAAGCCCCCAAAATCTCATGGTTCCCTGAAGGCCGGCGGAAAGCCTTGCTAAGGGGAGACCGAAACGGGATGGGGTGCAAAACGGGGCGGCTTGGTACTCCATCTGAGGGCAAAGCTCTGCACCTCACTGGATCCCTGACGAGCCCCCAAATGACCCTTGCGGCCAAGACAGCACCTATTACCGTGGGTGCGGTGTGAGCCTACAGGCATAACATGTGTGTGGTGAGGTTTAGGTTTCTCAGCGTTGTCGCAATTCACTTTTCCCATGGACGCGTGGTGGGATTGTTTTGCCTGATTCTCAGCCCCCAGGCCACGGCTTCTGCGAGGGCCGTGGCGGTGATTGGGGCAACCGCGAGGCGCGGAGTTTTTGTTTTAGTTTTTCCTTCGGCTGGCCATTCCCTCACAGTGCCTTCGAAATGGTAAAATGAGATGCCAGGTGCGGCTTTTAGTATGAATTGAAATAAGGAACTTCTGCAAAGCGCGGGGGTTGCCCAAATATAGCTAGGTTTTGAAGGGAGGCCATTTTTTAAAGGATTTTGTTTCGTTCTTTTTTAAGGATTGTTTTTTGTTTTTCAGGGTGGATGGCTTTTCGCTTTTGTGGCTTTTACGGGGGTTTTTGTGGCTTTTGTGGCTTTTCATTTCGCATCCTCTGCATTCACAGTTCCTCTCTTGTCGCATCCTCTGCATTGCCAGTTCCGCTGGCTTTTTGTGGCTTTTGGCGGCTTTCTGGCTTTGGCTATACACGCCTAATTGAATCATCATTTTTTCGATCATCATGCGACAGCTACTTTTTAGATTCTTTGGCTGCCGTGTTACAGGGATTAGTTTGCCCGTATTTGAATCTTCACTTTTACCATGAGGCCTTGCCGAAGCGGCACTGATGCCCCCCCCCGCTGCTTTTGTATATTTTTTGGCCCATTGAATCATCACTTTTTTCAATCATCATCCCCCCCGACTTTTTGCCCCTGATTGAATCATCACTTTTTCGATCATCATGGTGGGGGCTGCCGCCCCCCCCCCAACCCCCCCGCGCCTTCAATTCAATCACCACTTTTTCAATCATCATGGAGGAATTGCCGCCCCCCCCCCCCGTGGAAGGGTAGACCATGTATAATGTGGCGCGCGCGCGCGTGGCTCACATGACCCGCACGCCCCTTGTTGTTTTCATTATTCGAATCACTCCATATACTTTTACAGGGGCGGGTGACTGTTGAGGAATGCCAAATCCAATTCTTCTAAGTGTCTAATTCTTCCAAATATTCCCGAATGGACGGGCGTGCTTTGGATCTTCAACGCAATTTCCATTTTTGTGCAGCTATTCTAATTGTTTTGTTCCCGCAAGGGACTGGAGCCCTTTGGCGAATTTCAGATCCATGCTTGCTCTAACTATTCTGCTTCTAAACCTATCTTATCTTATTTATTTCCAAAGCGAGGGCTTCCTTTCGGGAAATGCAACACTCATGCTTGTTCTAATCATTCTAAGCATTCTCACAATTCTAACATTCTGTTTTTCAGTGGCCGGGCGCCTTGTTGGGAATGTCCAGATTCACTTTGAGCTAATCATTCTACTTCTCATTTTTATCCTAACATGTGTTCCCAAAGGGACGGGTGCTTACTGGGGAAATCCAGACTCACTGTCTAATTACAATGATGTTCTAACTAGCCTAATTCTTCGATTTATTCAAAATGGGTTGGGTGCTTTCGTGGAATTCCTGGCTATACTCTTCTGATTATTCGGGTTATGCTAGTTATTCCCAAAGGGACGCGTGCCTTTTGAGAAACTAACCAATTCATTGTTGCTAGTTGATCTACTTATGCTAAGAACTTGGATAATTAGAACACAGTTCCCTATTACTCATGTTTCTGAAAGGGACAGGTGCCTTTTGGGGAATTCCAGATGCAATTGATTTAATTCGTCTAATGATTCTTGATATTATCATTTTAAGTATTCCAAAGGGACGGGCACCCTTTGGGGAAATCCAGATTCAGTGTCTGTTCTAATCATTCTACGGTTGATTTGTCCAATTACACCAATTATTGTGGAATTCAAGATTCATGTTTGCAATACGCAAGTGTCAGAACCATTCTCGTTACTCTATTTTTTCCCGAGGGGCCCTTGGGGAAATGGCAGATGTGTTTAGATCATTTCAAGTCTTGGAGTGGTTCCAACTCGGTGAAATAAAGAGAATAAGACGAAGACGCGTAGCCGTATTTGTACGCGTAAATCGTGTGTATCTGTTCTAGTTATTAAAATGAGTCTACCGAATTAGAATATTAAACAACACAGACCAGGTAACGCCCTTTGTTTTTCTAGCCACTCGGCTTATTCTAACTGTTCAAACAGGGGCGCGTGCCTTCTCAGGAAATCAACATCACTTTATTTGCAAGTTCCTGTAATTGTTCAAGCTGTTCTAATTATTCCTCAGGGGAAGGATGCCCTTTGGGGAACCCCAGATTCATGTTTCAAATTGTTCTACTCATGTATTCCGAAAGGGACAGGTGCCCTGTTGGGCGGAATTCCCGATTCATTGACTTCTAATTAACTACTGTTCCCATTGATCCGAATATCCAGGACGATAAGAGAATATATGTTTTGCTAACTGTTCTAAATATTCTACTTGTTCCCAACTGGACAGGTGCCTGTTTGGGAATTCCAGACTCATGTTTGCTCCAGCTATCCTGAGTAGTTTCATATTCTATCCATTGCCCAAGGGACGGGTGCCTTTTGGGCGAATTCCAGATTAGTGTTTGTGCCAATTTTTCTAACTCTCTAATTATTATTATTATTATTCCCAAAGGGGCGGGTGCCTTTTGAGGAATTCAAGATTCATCTTGCAAATTACTTTATTTAACACAATTCTTCTAGTTCTTCTAATTGTAATCTCTAGGGGGTGGGGGTGCCTTTTACAGAATTTCAGACTCGTGTTTCCTCTAGGTATGATACTTTTATCAAAAGAGATGGGGCCTTTTGGTGAATTCCATAGTTTTCCCACACTGTTCCAATCATTTGAAAAAAATCCAGCTGAGCAGCCTTCTTTTGGTAGAGAGGGTGACAGTTGGAATATTATTCCCATTATTCCCCGCGTGCTTGGGAATTTTCAGGTTCAATTTCACCAGGAAACAGGAGCCGTTTAACCAATTCCAGATCTAAGCTTGTTCTAATTCTTCTACTCCTTGTAAGTACTATCATTATCTTATGTGCGTCCCAAATGGAGGGGTACCTTTTGGAGAATTCAATATTCATGTTTGTTCTAACTAGTCTAAGCGCTCACAACTCCAACTCTTCTACTTATTTTCAATCGGCCGGGAGTTTGTGCTAATTAGTCTACTTCTCATGATTCTTCCAACATTTATTTCCAACGGGGCGGGTGCCTTCTGAACATCCAGGCTCACTGTCTAATTACAACATTTCTTCAATTTAATCTAGCGCAATTCTTCGATTTAAACTATTGTCATTATCTTATTTGCTTTCCAAATGGAGGGGTACCGTTGGGGAATTCAATATTAATGTTTGTTCTAACTAGTCTAAGCATTCACAAGTCTAACTGTTCTACTTATGTTCAATGGGCCGGGAGCCTTCTGCGACAGTCCAGATTCAGTTTGTGCTAATTATTCTACTTCTCATGATTGTTCCAACATTTATTTCCAACGGGGCGGGTGCCTTCTGAACTTAACATCCAGGCTCACTGTCTAATTACAACAATTCTTCAATTTAATCTAGCGCAATTCTTCGATTTAAACTATTGTCATTATCTTATTTGCTTTCCAAATGGAGGGGTACCGTTGGGGAATTCAATATTAATGTTTGTTCTAACTAGTCTAAGCATTCACAAGTCTAACTGTTCTACTTATGTTCAATGGGCCGGGAGCCTTGTGGGGAAGTCCAGATTCAGTTTGTGCTAATTATTCTACTTCTCATGATTGTTCTAACATGTATTTCCAAAGGGGGGTGGGGGGGCGCCTTCTGAACATCCAGGCTCACTGTCTAATTACAATAATTCTTCAATTTAATCTAGCGTAATTCTTCGATTTAAACTATTATCATTGTCTTATTTGCTTCCCAAATAAAGGGGTACCCCTTGGGGAATTCAATGTTCATGTTTGTCCTAACTAGTCTAAGCATTCACAACTCTAACTGTTCTACTTATTTTCAATGGGCCGGGAGCCTTGTGGGGAAGTCCAGACTCAGTTTGTGCTAATTATTCTACTTCTCATGATTATCCTAACATTTGTTTATGTTTAAAGGGGCGGGTGCCTTCTGGGGAAATCCTGACTTACTGTCTAATTACAATACGTGTTTTATCTTCGATTTATTAAATGAGTTTTCCTGGTACAGGGACGCGTGCCTTTTGGGAAAATCCAAATTCATTGTTGCTAGTTGATCTACTTAGTCTAAGAATTTGGATAAGTAGTATAATTAGAACATTGTTCCCTATTACTCGTCTTTCTGCAAGAGACAGGTAGGTGCCTTTTGGGGAGTTCCAGATGCATCTGTTTTAACTCGTCCAATGATTCTTTATATTATCATTCTAAGTATTCCAAAGGGACGGGCACCCTTTGGGGAATCCAGATTCACAGTGTCTGTTCTAATCATTCTACTTCTTTGATTTGTCCAATTGCACTAATTAGTCCCAAAGGGGCGGGGTGCCTTTTTGGGGAATTCAAGATTCATGTTTGCCATAGGCAAGTGTAAAATCATTCGTGTTAGTCTATTTTTCTCGAATGGGGAAGGGGCCCTTTGGGAAATGACAGATGTGTTTAAATCATTGTGAGTATTGGAGTGGTTCTAATTAGTTAGAATAAATAGCATAATTTGTTGTTTCTTGTTTGTGCCACGGGGGCAGGTGCCTTTGGGGGAAGTACGCAAACATTGCGTCTAACTATTCAAGCCATTAAACTCATTCTGACAAATTAGACACATTAACAACGCCTTTTTTTTTCCAGCCATTCGGATTTTTCCAATTGTTCCCACAGCGACGCGTGCCTTCTCAGGAAATCCACATCATGTGTTGTGCAAGTTCCTGTAATTGTTCAAGCTGTTCTAGTTATTCCTCACGGGAAGGATGCCCTCTGGGGAACCCAAGATTCATGTTTCAAATTATTCTACTCATGTATTCCGAAAGGGTCAGGCGCCTGTGGGGAATTCCCGAATCATAGATTCATAATTAGCTACTTTTGACCATTGAATCGAATAACTATGATAATACAAGAACAAACAGGGCTATGTTTTGCTAACTGTTCTAAATGGTAAATTTGTTCCCCGCGGGACAGGTGCCTTTGGGAATTGCAGATTAAGATTTGCTCCAACTATCCTGAATAATTTCATTATTCCATCCATTCCCAAAGGGACGGGTGC